GGGCTCCTCGGGCCCTCCAGCTGACGTGGCTTGAGGCTGGACGGGCCGAGTGCCTAGGCTGGGTGCGGAGCTCAGCTGTGTACTGACTGGCATAACCTTGGGAACCAACCTGGGTGTGGGAACAAACTGGACGGCAGCCATTCCCACCTGAGGTGCAGATGCAGGTGCAGGATATGGCAGACCTACGGCTGCCCTGACCCCAGTGGTGGGAACTAGCTCAGGTGCTGGCTGGGTGACCCCTGCCTCTACCTGGAGATCAGACACAGGTGAGAGGTCAGGCAATGCCACAGCCACCCTGGGAGTGAGCATAAAGTTCCAGATATTGACTTTGTCAGGTGTAAGCAGAGGAGCAACGACAGACAAAGACCTTAAAGTCTCTAAGCCCTTAACATAGTCCAAATTGTCCTTCGTTGCCCTTCTTGGGGAGCTAAACACACCTTCTGTCTTGGAGCACGATTCAAACAACATTTCAGACCTGAAATAAGTTGGCTCAGTGACACAAGTGATAGTTATACTGTCCCAGGAAGCACGATTCTTAAGGCCAAGACATGCTTCATGAACCCACATAAAACAACCAGGACTATGTGCAGATGATTTTAACACAATAATTTGGCAGTCACATAGGAAATAACTACGTTTATTGAAGTCTAAGCCCCCCGTAGGCGAGACTGAGTTAAGGGGGGGTTCAGCCACACACACTAATCGGCTGTAGAAGGCTAGTGAGTGGAATGCACATGGACTTGGCTTTGCACAGAAAACATAGTGGACTGGCTCTGAGCCATCCGGCTGAATTGTCTTTAGATCGGCCAGTTCATTAACTGCAGTCAAAAGGTCCTGGCCCAGGGGTGCAGTTAAAGGGCTAGCTGGTTTGTAATGGCTAGCATGGCGCTCCCCCCCGACAATCTTGGAAACACAAAATTCAGCCATGTCATTGGATAATGCGGGAGCATAACTTAAACGGTCCTTCAGTTTTGTACTAACGGAAATTGCGATGTCATTCACAGACATAGGGGATCCTGGCAGACCCATAATAATCGTCCCGGCCCGATGGTCTGGTGTAGAAAAGCAGTCGCCGATGTCGGGCTCCAAAGCACTCACTCTGGTCTAACCATCAGCATAGTGAGGAACATGGGGACCGATCAGCACAGGATCATAACAGACATTTTCATGATCAACGCTGGACATTTCTTCTTTCGCTGGTCTAGTTATATAAACAGAACATTTGTTATTTGACTTGGGAACAAGGAAAACAGACTTGGAAAGGGGGGTGCTAGCCAAGGGCAATACAGTCTTACTCCTGGTCAGATCAGAAGCTTTCTCACCTAATTTGCAGTTAACGGACCGCAGGGGCTGAGACACGGTCTTAAATAAAGCCCCAAATGCCCTAGCGGTCTTAAAAGAAGCCCTCTCAGTGGAAGATTGAGGTTCTGGGTGTGCAGAATCATTAGTACATTCTGTTTCGCTAATGTCCCCCTCAGCCTGCTCATACGTAATACCAGGGTTTAACAGTACATCACTTGGTTTAATTCTCAGGACTGAAGAGTCTATGGTCGGTTTGGCAGTGTCGGTTTCACAGTTCGGTGATGGCAGTGTGTCTTCCCCAAGAATAGCGTGCCCAACACCAGAAATTTTAGTTTTGATGTCAAAACACAACGTGGGCACAAGATTAACACCTTCAACATTAGCAGTCAGAGGCATGGAAAAGGCAGCTTCTTCACTGGCCCCCGAGAAAACAGACCGTGATGAGGTGCATGGGGGGGGTGACAGAGTTAACAGTACAGGTAAATTGTGTCTCCATCTCCGAGACCTTAATTGTCTTTCCAAACCCCTCGCCCTCACTACATCCAGGGCGTTTCAGTGGCAACAGAACGTTATCACTAACCTCTGAGTGCCGTGTAGAGCGACGCCGACGCCGCTTCCTCCTGGGAGTGGCCGCGAGCGCGGCAGCGTTAACCGTTGGGATCGAGTCTTCCTCCTCTGCCCACATCCTCGCCAGACAAGCGGCCGGAGACGTGAAGTCCTCGCGAGGGCGTGACGGTGAGTGGTCGGTCTGAAGCAGGGCGATAGGTGGGAGCTCCTCCTCGGGAATGAGCCAAGGCTTCCAACGGAGCTCCTCCTCCCGATAAGCCTGCAACACCTGCTGACGCTCATCGTCGCCAAAATCTATGGCCTCCATCGCCTCCGTGTGCTGGTCAGTGCAGCTTGACTGTGGCGGAAACGAGGAAGCTGATCCACGGTGAGGCGATGGCTGAGTGGAAGTGGAACTCAGCGTTCCACCTCTCACAGCCTCTGGCTCATGAGGCAGCGGCGATGATACCCGTTCACGGGACGGAGGTGTGGGTGCTGAGGCGGCATTCAGGACCCTCTGGGCCAGCGCACGGGCACGAAGCTCCTCCTTAAGGGGGCCCAGGGAGTCAAACGCCTCGACGAGGTGGGGGAGCTGTCGCAACCGTGGCTCCCGCAACAAAATGGCGTCCACGGCCGCCAATCCCGTGGAAACCAC